TTATTGCTATTACACAAGGGCTAACAAGCCCCATGTGTGAAAGCATTTGGAGGTGACAGGTGCTCTTTATTGACCGTCACCTCCAACACAGGAGTTCTAGCACAGCACTGAGCTTGTTCTCCTTTGACAGGAAGGCTGCATTCCTGTATCACTGCAGAGAAGCGTTCTCTGCTCCGTGCTGTAACCTAATCTAATTTGCCTGGTCCCGGGTCCCCCACAAGAGGGGGGGACCGCAAAGACCATGGCAGAAAAGAAGCCAGCGTGCAGCCAGAGGCAGCCGGGACAGGTATATGGCCGGCCCGCTGGCAGCCGGAGATAGAGAGAGGGGAGAGGAGTGAGATTCAGGCTCGTTACAAGTGATTTTGGACGGCCGTTCAAAATCACTTGTACGAAACGGCTCCCACACTACATTTAGCTGTGCTGCTTTCCCGCAGCCGGGCTAAATGTAGAGAAAACCTACTCGCCCGAAACTGGCTGACCCGGGCGATAGGAATTCCACACCCCTGCACTGACTGAATACATTGTTTCTATGTGTGTATCAGATGATGGGGGATCTAGGTGGACCCTCCGTACTGCTCTCTCCTCTTACCCGGTGATGTGAGGGGCGGTTCATTCTGCATCACGACGTCCTTGTAGAGATCCCGGTGTCCTTTATAGATACTGGAAACTTCTAGAATATTTTATAACGGTTTGCCTCTGTTGTCAGGCGGTGAGGTGGAGGCTCTGTGATGGGTGATGTCTGCAGAAGACACTTTCTGAGTGTCAATGGCTCACAAGATATATTGGTCACTATCCTGTAATCCTGTTTGAAGGGAGAAGGTAACAATTATCAATGAAAACTTCCCAGAATCCTCCTGAGCGGTCTTTTAGAAATCAAATAGTCACATGATCTAAAGAAGACTCTCTGTAGACAAATGCTGAATTGCTTAGAGTGTCAGATCTTGTGGGATAGTTCTGATATTATGGACACTGTCCCCCAGTACCCATGACTCCAACTCACGTTTCACTCCTACAGCACTTCCTGTGTATACACCTACATCACTTCCTGTTTGTACTTTTACATCATTTCCTGTCTATACCTTACATCACTTCCTGTCTGCATATTACATCACATCCTGCCTGTACCTTACATCACTTCCTGTAGCTGGCTACCACTGAGATCGCCGCCTTGTGTTGAATATAAATACTGCAGTCTCTGTTATGTTTCATCATTGTGCTCGTTGCCTTGTGGTCTATTCCTCTATTACGTTACATCCATGACTACACACAGAGCCAGTCACATCAGTCTCTGTACAGAGGAGCTTACACTCTAATGTACCCCCAGAGCCCCCCCCTATTATTATACATTTATATATCACTGACATATACTGCAGTGGTGTACAGAGAACACTGAGCCAGTCACATCATCTCTGTACAGAAGAGCTCTGTACGGTAACAAACTATGTGACTGGCTCAGTGTTCTCTGTACGGTGCTGCGGTATATTTCAGTGATATATAAATGGATAATAATGAGGGTGTCTGTGGTTAGGTCTGAGGTAAATCTTTGTGGAGAGCAGAATCTGCCCAGGGACTCTGAACCCGCCTTGTGACAGGTTACTGTGGAGGGAGTGCAGCCAATGACAGTGGAGGAGGTGTGAAATCTGAGGTAAATCTCTGTGGAGAGCAGAATCTGCCCGGTGACTCTGATCCCACTCTGTGATTGGTTCCTGTGGAGGGAGTAACAGTGGAGGAGGTGTGAAGCGGGGACTCTGATTGGCTGTGAGGCTCTTTTCAGCTCCTTCTGTCAGTTACTGAATTCTCCATCTTGTTTTAGATTAGTGACAGAAGTGATGGAGGAATGTGGGGGAGGGGGGTTCTGTTCACTTCTTTCCAACTTGGAATTTCCTCCCTACAAACCCGGAACCGGATGGTGGAGAAGTAAGTATGTTACACCTCCTTCTGTAATGATCCCTCTGAGACTCTACTGAATACAATGCCTGAGGTTTGTACACTTACCCAATATAGACCGGTAACACACACACTTACAGCGGCCAGGAGAGGACAGGCTTGGGCCTGGAAATCTCCGTCTCTCCCCTCTGCCAGTGTGAAAGCTCTGGTGTCTCCGGTCATGTTCTATGAGAAGCTTACTGCTAGACATAAAGTTTCTCTACATATAAGAAGACATGGACTCCTTGGATTGTCGCCTCCTTGCCGGCCTCCTTTATTATGGATTCCTGAACTCTCTAGTTTCCTGATCTGTATTGGGCTGGTTGGTGCTGCGTGCTATCTCCCTATTTGAGGGTTTACCCCCTTGGATGTGTTCTGGACCTTTCGGGTTCCTGGCTTCCTCTGTCCTCTTTCTTCCCTCTCATCTGTGGATAGGGTTGCCACCTTTTCTTCTAGCGAAACCCAAACGCTCCAGCGACGCACAGAAATGTATTTTGGAGAATGAGTCCTGGCTTATTCATATGTAAATATCACAGTCAAGGCTATTTTTAGTGGGGGGCCAGTATCCCCTATCTTAATTTTGTTTGCCCCTGTCTGCCTGACATCATGTGTCCGGGTTTCAGCTGCCATAAAACCATAAAACCCGGACACAGCATTCAAGCACGGACTGTCCGGGTGAATCCTGTACAGGTGGCAACCCTACCTGTGGAAGGCGGCTCTCCCTCTCCCCTTTTATCTCTCTTCCTTCTATTCAGTTTCCTTCTTCTCGCTTTTCTCCATATTCTCCTTTTCTCCGATAAATTTTATTTTTCCTATTCTCTCTTCTTAGTTTTGATTTGGTGTTCCTTGCCTGGCCTGCCTCTTAGTGGACGTGGGCAGTTTGCTATGATTCACGTGTCACTTATATTGCCCCATGGATACTTGGGGACGTACGGGCCCCTCATAATGTGTGTATTTGGAATGTAGCACTTCATCACATTATTGGATCTCTTTGTTGTTTCACTCCGTAGCTATCTCAAGTGTATTTCGAGTATCTGTGTAATTTTTTTGCCTGTTCCTTTCAATAAAAACGTGTGAAGGAAAAAAATCCATCACTGTGACGTTTTATTGGTCATAATTATGACAAAACAAACTAAAAAAAACACAAATTATCCCCCCCCCCCCCCCCACACACACACACACACACACACACACACATTGTTTCCTCAGCAGTTCAACATCACTCATTTCTGTCTGCACCTCTGTGTTGTCACTGATTTCCACCCATGTCTGTACTACATTCCCTGGGAGCTCCCACCATCCACACAATATATTCTACAGCATCTCCCCCTCCCCTATCCATACCATGATCACTTAAAGCTGTCCTCCACCATCCACACTACATTCTCCAACAGCTCTCCCCCACCATCCACACTACATTCTCTGACAGCTCTCCTCCCACCATCCACACTACATTCTCTGACACCTCTCCTAC